AATATATATATATATATATATATATACAATTGAAGTGAATTGTATAAAACGAATTGTATAAAACAAGAAAAAGAGAAATTATATACAATTTGAATTTGTATAAAACGAGAAAGAGAGAAAGGCAAAAGAGACTTGGGTAGGAAAATATTTGTATTTGTATAATTAATTATAAGTGTATATGACGATCATATACAATTTGAATTTGTATAAAATGAGAAAGAGAGAAAGGTAAAAGAGACTTTGGACAAGGAATATACAATTGAATCGAATTGTATAAAACGAGAAAAACAGAAATTATATACAATTTGAATTTGTATAAAACGAGTAAGAGAGAAAGGCAAAAGAAACTGGGTAGGAAGTATTTTTATTGTATAATTATAAGTATATATGACGAAAATATATGTATTTGCATGTGTATATACAATTTTCTCCCGCTTTATACAAACAGAAATACATTTTATACATTTCGTTTCTGTTTTTATAAACGAGAGCGGCGAGCGAGATTAGGCAGAATGGCGATCGAGATCTGGGAGAACGGAGAGAGGGGAACGAAAATATATATATTTATAGAATTTCCTCTCATTTTATGCAAACACAAACACATTTTATACGTTTATGTTTGTATAAAAAACGAGAGAGGCGAGCGAAACTGCCACCAAACGATGGTAGCGAGCGAAATTCCTCCAAGGAGAGTGACAAAAATAGCTATAGTTTACTATAAGGTACAACTAAATCAAAGTATATTAATAGCATTTAATTTAAATTAATAGTTTGTTATTATATATAATTTTTCATATTGTACTACGTAAACAATATACTTTAGCTTTGGGAATAAAATTCGAAACAAAATATGGATAAAGTGTTAATTAACCCCTGCCCCAACCCAATTATCTAGTTATACCGCATGAAAAATATTTTCTCTACCAAAAAAAAGATTCTCCAAAATAAAGAAAATGGCTTCTTAATCAGCTGATTAGGGAAAAAAGTTAATTCCACAAACATTCTACATCTTTTCCTTTTTGGTTTATTTCAAAATAATAAAATTTCATTATATGATGATTGCATATAATTTAATTTTAACATATCTTTTTTATTCTTAATAACATGTTATCAACTAAGTAGATATCATAATTATTTTAAATAAAAATTTTAATAAATTTTTTTTTCTTAATATTACACTATATTCAAGCCCGGTGAAAAAATGAAATACAAAAAGATTATGATGTCAAAATCTTGCGCCCTTGTTTTTCCAAATAGTATCACCTAAATTAGGATACAAGAGAATAGTGTACGAGTAAAAATAAAGAAAGCTTATAAAGTTAAAGGTCCTTTTTTAATTTCTATAAAATGGGAGTAACGCACTCACATTCATAAAACAAATTTTTTATCATATGATAATGATTAGATGATAACACTTCACCACTTATTTTATTCATTTCCTTGCACGAGTGTGCCTTTAACTTGATGGCTACAACAATAACCACTCCCTCTTTCTTTTTTTTAAAAATGATTTCTTTTTCTTCATTATTTTATACATTTATTGCTGATTCTTGTTACATATTATTTAAATTGAAAATCTACTTACAAAATATTTTTCTGATAGAAAGTAAACTGCACATGTACAACCCTCTCCCTTCTCCCTCCAAACTCCGCTTTAAATATATACATAAAAACTAAATTATGTTTGAATATGCTTTTTAAATATCTTCGCTACCTATATTTCAAGTAATAACTCCAATGAAAATATAATTATGTCTATAAGTTTAGAATAGAGCCAGATAATATTCAAAACAGAATCAACAAAATAAAGTCAATCTATCACTGCTAAAATTTTCAAAATCTTATCATTTCTAAGTTCCTTGATTTTTAGTTCTTTTTAAGGAAAGAGATCGTTGGAGAAGATCACAAAGACAATTATATTTATTTATATACTTAATGAGCCACAAAGACTCAATTGTTTTGACTCTTCAAATTAAAATATTAGTTGTTAAGTCTAATTCTCATCCCTAATCCCATGATTAGACAGCTAATTTTGGAGTCAAACTAGGGCCCTTAATGTTAATCCCCTTGATTAAATATATTTCAACTCATGATTAATTTTTAAGGAAAAATTTGTGCTCCACCAACATCTTCACTTTAACCACCTCCCCCCCTCCACCAAGTCTTGCTCCCACAACTTTAATTATTTTTTAATACTCCTACTAATTAAATTTTTTTTGGGGGGGGGGTGATTAATAATGATGAATATTTTTTTCTCCATTATAATATACTTCACTCTAAAGACAATCTTGCCTTTTGACAAAAAAATCGCAACTTGAAATTCTCTAATCCAATTTTCTGCATAAAAATGTAAAGTCAAGTGTATACTACACAATTACAACCTGATTTTGTATGTATGTATGCATAACTCCAACAGAAATAAATAAAATTAATTGAATTCATTTTAAATTTATTTTTAACTGATTTACATGACTCGACTTACTTATTCTTTTCTTTTATCTCCACGAATTAGCAAGAACCAACCCCTTCTTCACAAAGGCGAAAGGCCTTTTTGAAGTAAGACAAAGGGCGGATTCACGTTGAGTGAAAGAGAGGCTTCATTTAAAAATTTTATTATATATATAAAAAAGAATTATAAGAGGAGAGTGTGTGATTTCTACAAATCATTTTACCTTTACTTTTAGATCCCAATATCCCCTCTAAGCAAAGTTAAAAAAATATTTTAATTACTCCATTTGTTTATAGTTTTCTATTATTGATAATTAGCACATACCTCAAGAAAATAATAAACCATAGGAATAATATCATCATGTTATTTTTTGAACAGATTAAAAATGCTTTTGGGAAATGTATTAATATACTACTAAGGTAATTATATCTCTGTACATAGTTTAACAGAAGGAAAGAGCATTGAATATTTAAAATTGACAAACATACACTCTTGTAAAGTGTATTGAGATAATTAATGAGTGGAAATCTTACCAAAATCCACTCAATCTAATTCTAGACTAATGTGTTGACTCTCACATGGCGGCAATAAGTGCGATATGAAAAAAAAATTGATCTTATTTAACTAGTGGCAATAAGTGCGATATGAAAAAATTGGTCAATTAAAATTTACCTTCTTTAATGTGATCACATTTCTATTTGCTTTGCTTTAAAAGGATGACGAGCTTCCTAGAAAATTCCGTTCAGAGATTGAAATTGTGATTTTCAAATTAAATCTGATGTTGGATTGGATATCTTGCATAAATTTGGACTAATTTTACATATTATCTTTTATTTATAATAAGTATAAAATAATTTTTTGCATCAAAACTAATATATATGACAAGAAATTACGAATTATTTTTTCTCGTAAACTAAAGAAGAACTCTTCAAAATGCAATTATGGTAAGTTTATATGGTATATACTTGCAGTATGTACTCAGGGGCAGATTTAGGTGTACGGGTAGGGTTGCCACAACACCCAGTGTTTTAAAAAAAAACGTTATGTACACATGTATATATGTATAATAATTAAATATATATTATTGTTGCCACTTAATGACTGTAAAACATAATAGCTCAATTGGGAAAGGAGAAGGTCTCCCTCCTTGTCAATCCGAGTTTGACCTCAGCAACAACATTTAATTTATTTTGCTTGCTTTTTTTTTCTTATCTTTTTCTTCATTCATTCTTATTTATTTACTATTCTTTATTAATTCAAATTGATCTCTTTTCATAATTAATTTTAATTTTTTTTACTTTTTCACGCACTAATTATTAATCTATTGATTTGAGTATAACATGTTTATTTTTTTTATCAATTAGTGAGTACTGAATTATGAGCATCAAATAAATATTATCAAGAATATATTTAAATAATAGTTTTTAGAAAAAACATTAGTTCCAAAAATGTTTTTTAAAATTTTTTTAAAGGTTCTTTCGCTCTTCACCGATATTTTTGTTGAGTAAGATGAATAGGCTGAAACTACAATTTTTCATTATTTTCCAACTATATATCTCCAACAACATATTAAGTCAATGGAAGATAAATATATTATGTTAATATTATTAGATGGTTTACACAAGCTCAAATTTTAACATGAGTTTTTTTCTTCAAAGTTTCAGCAAATAAGACATTTAGTTTGAAAAAAAAATAAAAAATTGAATTGTTTAGTCATCTCTGATCACATAATATCTAAAAGAAAATATTATTATAGGCACATTTGATCAATTTATTTATAAAATAAAATAAATTTAATAACTTAAATTGTAACCAAAATTAAAATAATCAATCCTTTTATCTTACTTGAATGTTGTGACACCCTTAACCTTTAAATTTTAGATATGCCTCTATATGAACTATGTACGACGAGATGTCAACTATTGTTTTTCAGTAAAAAAAAAAAGAAGGTGTTTACTTTAATTCATGTCCAAAATACCCTGTAGAAATTAATGATTGGCCAATATATTTTTCCATCCTATAAATAGCCCTCCAAATCTCATTGGCATCAAACACACAAACCTAAGTGAGTTTTGTACTATTTTCTCTCTCTCCATGAACAAGAGTGATAGTTGTACACTAAAAATAGCCATCATTTGCATCAAAATCTCACAAAAAACGTCAAACACACAAATCTTAGTGAGTTTTATAACTTTTTTTTCTCTTTCCATTGGAACAATTGTATACTAAAAGTAACCATCATGAGTATGATGGCGGTGCTACTTTTGATTTGCATCATTTTGATGTCACTAAAAATTGCCTATGAAACTCTCTCATTTTACTATTTGATTCCCAGACGTATCACTAAAATTATGAAAAAACAAGGTGTGTGTGGTCCTAGACCTCGATTTCTTGTTGGAAATATCTTTGATATGACTTCTCTTGTCTCCAAATCAACCTCAAATGACATGGATTCTATTCACCATGATATCGTCGCTCGCCTTTTGCCCCATTACGTCGCTTGGTCTAAGATTTATGGTATGAATTGGTAAACGTTCTTTTATTTTTAGTCCGTTTTAAAAATAATGATTATACTTAATTGAAAATTGAACTTATAGGGAAACGATTCATTTTTTGGAACGGGACAGAGCCGAGAATGTGTTTATCAGAAGCAGATTTAATCAAAGAACTTTTTTCAAAGTATAGCAGTGTTTCTGGAAAATCATGGTTACAACAACAAGGTTCTAAACATTTTATCGGGCGCGGACTTTTGATGGCTAACGGCGACGATTGGTACCATCAACGCCACATTGTTGCTCCTGCTTTCATCGGAGATAAATTAAAGGTACTAAATATATATATATATATATATATATTTTACCCTGTTTGTACATGACAATCATATAGATAGACTGATTTATATTTATACATGGGCAGAGTTATGCGGGATATATGGTGGAATGTACTAGTGGGTTGCTCCGATCACTCGAAAATGCGGTCAAATCAGGTCAAATGGAGTTCGAGATGGGAGAGTACATGACTCGACTCACTGCTGAAATAATTTCGAGAACAGAGTTTGATAGTAGCTATGAGAAGGGAAAACAAATATTCCATTTATTAACTATTCTACAGAAAAAGTGCGCGCAAGCTAGTCGACACTTGTGCTTTCCTGGAAGCAGGTAAATTTTTGGAACCCATTATATATTATACGCAGTTATTACAATTTTTGTCATAGTCTCTATCTTATCCTACGGATACTGATAAATATAAAATTTGTTTATTAGATAGAAAATGCCCACTTTCCTTTTAAAAATTAATTAATTCCAAAACATTTTAAAATGTTACTTAAAAGATTAAGAAAAAGCCAAAAATTCAATTTCGATTCTTGGAATTGACTGGTACGATTCTGTTTTCGAGTAATCTCATTAATGTGATATATACACATTGGCGGATTGCACTGTTTTATTCAACACAACATTATTAAATTTTTTGAAAAAATTTAAATTTTGAACTCATAATTGTAGCGTTTAGATTCATATTAATTAAATTTTTTTTACAGATTTTTTCCGAGTAAATATAACAGAGACATAAAGACATTAAAAATAGAAGTGGAGACGCTACTAATGGAAATAATACAAAGTCGAAAAGATGGTGTAGAAATTGGGCGAAGCAGTTCGTATGGGAATGATTTATTAGGAATGTTACTAAATGAGATGCAAAAGAAAAGATCAAGCAATGGATTCAGCTTGAATTTGCAGCTTATTATGGATGAATGCAAAACTTTTTTCTTTGCTGGACATGAAACCACTGCCCTTTTGTTAACTTGGACGGTTATGTTGTTAGCAAGTAATCCCTCTTGGC